ACCCCACCAGCGAGCAGGCTGGGGGTGCACAAGGAGCTGGGAGGGGACACAGCCAGGACAGCTGAGCCCAACTGACCCCAGGGATATCCCACACCACATGGAGTCATGCTCAGCATGTAAAGGTGGGGAAGAAGAAGGAAGGCGGGACATTTGTAGTGATGGTGTTTGTCTGCCCAAGTAACTGCTACGTGTGATGGAGCCCTGCTGTCCTGGAGATGGCTGAACACCTGCCTGCCCATGGGAAGTGGTGAATGAATTCCTGGTTTTGCTTTGCTTGTGCAGCTTTTGCTCTACCTGTTAAACTGCCTTCATCTCAACCCACGAGTTTTTTCACTTTTACCCTTCTGATTGTCTCCCCCATCCCACCCAGGGGGAGCAAACGAGAGTCTGTGCGGGGCTGAGTTGCTGGTTGGGGTTAAACCACAACATAAGGAAAGCCTACTACCAAAAACCTTACTTCTTCAGACCCAGTCTCCCTGACAAGACACAGGAGGAGACAGTGGTCTTCCACTACGTACAACCAAAAGGCAAAGGAAACTGGTTTCCAGATCAATTCTCCAACCCGAGCACTTGCGCTATAGTTTTCTTACCACAGTGGCTTACCTGACAGGATTGCTACATAACAGTTAAAGAAGAGTTAGTTTCTAAATAGGGGTGTTTGTTTCCAAATAATCAGAATAGAATCATAGAACAGTTTGGGTTGGAAGGGACCTTCAAAAGTCATCTAGTCCAACCCCCTGCAATGAGCAGGGACATCCTCAACTAGATCAGGTTGCACCAGGATCATGGTGCATCTACCATGTCTCTGGACAACCTGCGTCAATATTTTACCACCCTTATTGTAAAGAATTTTCTCCTCACATCCAGCCTGAATCTCCCCTCTTTAAGTTTAAAACCATCACCCCTCGTCCTGTCACAACAAGCACAGCTAAAAAGTCTCTCCCCAGATAAGAGTCCTACAAGAAATAATGTAAACCAGGCAAGCGCCAGGCCAGGCTCCTGCTGATCCCATCCCCAGAGACACTAAAACCGCAGGGACAGACCCCGCCATGCCTTCTCCATCATTCCCAAAGTTTGTGTGGACACTGACGGGGGTCACTGGAGGGGCTGCTCCCAGAAGTGTCCCAGCACACAGAGGGTAACCACAGCCCACTGGGTCATCTCCAGGTGGAGCAGGCGGAGCAGGCACTGGGGTTGGACTCACCTCGGCACTCCACGCCTGGGTCACCCCAGAAAAGCTCCTGGCACTCGCGGCAGGTCCGGCCTCCAAAGCCTGGCATGCACTGGCATTGCCCTGAGAACTGCCAAAGACAATGAAACAGGAGATGTGACCCCTCAGCAGCTCAGCCCGGCACCAGAGCAAAGGCCAAGCGGTCAGAGCGTGCCTCACACTCCCCTCACCTCATTACAGGCAGGACCGAGGGAGCGCGCAGGGTCGCAGTCACACTGCTCGCACCCGGTGCCGCTGGCCAGCCTCCATGTGTGCGGGGCACAGCGGTCGCAGGTCTGCCCCACCACGTTGGGGAGGCACCGGCACTGCCCTGTGGATGCCTCACACCGGCAGCTCTCTGAGCCCTCGCAGTCCTCCCGCACAGTGCCCAGGTAGTTGCAGACGCACTCTGTGAGGGAAGAGCATGGCAGCTGATGCTACTGCCTGTCAGTACCAGAATACTCCTGATGTCCCAGGCTGGCCATCTCTATAGCTTCTGCCCAAGCACAAAGCAGGCAACAGGAGCCTCTTGTTCAAGCAGCCCAGTCTTCCCCCTCTTCTTTCCTCCTTTGATATTCTACCAAAGCCTAAGCCTGACCAGATCCTGTCAGCTGGCTACAGTGGTGGATCTGGTTGGAGTGGCCAACGGCCCGTCAAGCAGAGCAGGGCTCTGTTCACCCACCCAGCAACCCATCTGCCCTGCCAGGCTGTGCCTGGTGCTGAGGGAGAGGAGGGTCTGCCTCCACACTGCCTAGTTTTGGCTAGCACTGTCCAGCCAGATCCGCAGGGATACTGGTGTAGACAAAAGCCAAGCCCTCACCCCGCCAACCCCATCTCTGAAGATGCAAACAAGAAGGCAAGAACCCCCCCTCCTGCAAAAGCACATGTAAATGCTGTCACTGCTCTCCCTGTCAAATGTAAAGGACTCCTCTCCCAGCCAGGGGCCCTACTCCAGGGCAGTGGCACACAATGCTAGCTGGAAGTAATGAGGTTTCCCCTCCACCCGAAATGTCCCCCAGCAGAAGAGTTGAGGCAGCCACTGAACTGCTCATGGCTGGTGGAGGGGCTGTGGCTACTGTCTCCCCACTCACTTCTGCAGTCCTGCTGCAGGGCACTCCCGTAATAGCCCTGTCTGCAGAGGTGGCAGTTTTCACCCTCTGTGTGATACAGGCACTTCATGCACGTTCCCGTCTTCTTGTCGCAGGCCTCCGGGTCAGTAGTGTCAATGTTGTTGTTGCACTGGCACGGCTGGCAGGCGCCGCCAACCTCATCGGGGCTCCCAAAGAAGCCAGACGCACATTCATCACATCGACTGCCTGTTTGAACAAACAGGCACAGTGGGAATTACCATCACGGCTCGCTAGTGGCCGGCCCCATAAATGGCAAGACTGAGGCAAGACAAAGGCCATTAATGGGGGGTGGGCGTTAATTGGCTAATGCTCAAAGCAACAGAGGCGGTGCTGTCAGCACACACATCCTCTTGGTTCCACTGCTGTCCTGTCAGCCTTTGCCAACCACCATGGTGACGAGGATGAGGTTCATACAACCTGCTCTGCCCTGGCACCTTCCAAGTGCTGCTAGCCTCCAGCAGCAACACAGTGATGCTGGATCCCTTCTCATGGGGAGGTTCAACCCAACCAGCCCCCCTTCATGCACCCACGCAGTACCTATGTATCCCATGCTACAGACACACACGACTTGCAGCGTGACTGGATCCTGGTAACAGCTGCTGGCAAACTGGCGTCCACTCTCGGGGCCGTCAGGACAAAGGCAGGGGCGGCAGTGGTCGCCTGATCCCAGGACGGGGTCTCCATAGTAGCCAGCCTGGCACCTGCACAGTGGGGTTCATAGCATGCAGGGGACTGCAGGCAAACAGACTGCAGCCTTGCTCTAAATATGCTCAGGTTTTCAACCACTGTGAAGAACCAAAAGCCAGAAACACCCTTATGCCTCCCCCATGCCACTCACACTCCAAGTAGCTGTGCCCACAAAGGCGAATTTGTCTGGCTGCTGTCAGTGTAAGAGGAGGAGACGCAAGGCAAGCTTGCAATGGAGAAAACCTCTCTGAAGCCCTGGGGTCCTGCAACATTTGCTGCTGGGAGGTGCAGGGCCGCAGTCAGGGAGAGGGTTGTCCCCGTTCCCATCCTCCTCCAAGACCACCAGCACTGCTCTGGCTCCTGGATCCAGGGACTTCCCATGTGGCTTTACACCTGCCTGAGTACCAGTACTGGAGGGGAACAGCTCCTGCACCCATTCTGCTGTGGGGAAGGAGGGGGCAGCTGTACCTCTCACAGTTGTGTCCCGCCGTGTGGTCCCGGCAGCTCAGGCACTCCCCGGTGTATGGGTTACAGTCATCAGCGTGGCCATTGCAGTGGCAGGGCTGGCAGCTAGGGAAGCCCCAGAAGCCAGGCAGGCAGCGGTCGCACTGCCGCCCATACACCCCGGGGAAGCAGTGGCACTGGCCTGTCTCCGCATCGCAGAAGGCATTGTAAGAGCCTCGGACATGGCACTCGCATGCTGCAAGGAGAGAGGGAGAGGAGCTGCAATTCCACAGCAAGCCCTAAACACAGGGCCCTGACCAGAGCAGAGCCCAGAGCCAAGGGCTTAACGTACGTCGACATCCACTTGGCCCGAACCCGAAGGTGCCAGGGGCACATCTGTCACACTGTCTTCCAACAACATTGGGACGACACTGGCACTGTCCTCCGTTGGGGTCACACACTGAACTTAGGGAGCCCTGTGGATCACACTGGCATGCTGAGTGGAGAAAAGCATTGGGGGGAGTAAGTACTGTGGCACAGGGCATGACTCACCTGCCTCAGCCCATTCACACGCCTTCACCATGCAAACCACTCTGCCTGCAAGCTCCATCCAGCTTCCAGGCACAGTTTGCCCTACAACTTCATGGCTACGTACATAATGCGGTCTCGTGTAATAGTGCAGAAATGCTGAATATGATGTTCTTGCAGACATCTGTCATGGGGGTTTTCACAACACTCCTGCTGTTTTCCAGACACCGGTATCTTTGGAAAGTTTCCCAAGCACTGTTTGTGACCACATCTTCGCCTGAGCCTCCCACTGTGAATATGTCCAGTGGTTTGCAGTATGGCATGAGAACAAGCTACAAAACAATTTTACAATGACAAAGTGGCACTGTTATAAATAGCCTCCACCAAAACTGTGCGATTTCAGTATTATCCTGCTTTCTATCATCCTTTTTCATCCAAAAAGCAAATAGCCAAATAGAATTTGGAAGGGAGGTGATGATATTTCTCTAGTTTTTGGTGAAACAGTTCTGGTATCTACCAAATTCTCACCAAATCTGTATTTTATCCATTCAAAAGAAAAAGACTGAAGTTGACATTCATGACATACATGGCACACATTAACCCCCTCAAAGAAACCATAGGTCTGGGGAACTAGTTGCAGTCCTGTAAAATACAGTAAAAGCCTCTTAGCAGAACCCCCATACTTTGAGACTGAAGAAGCCTATGCTGCTTTATATTGTTCAGTTACAGCCTGGCTTCAGCCATAAGCAACAACGCTGTAAAATATTACTTTGGATTTTGGATGCCAGAGGAGATGCAAACTTTCTGGCTTTTAAATACACTTTTACCCCAGAGCACCCCTGAAATAATTTCTGCTCACAGAGTCAATCAGTGTGTACGGGCTCTCTGTCTCTGTATCCACCAAGGAGTACTGGGACAGTTCCAGACGGATGGTGTAATTCAGCCCCTTCTCAAAGCAGACAGGCCGTGGAAGAACAACGTATCTGGATTAGGAACAGGAAACAATTCTTACTTCAAACGTCCAGCACCATAAAGCATTTCAGGTGGCCCTATAAAGCAATCGAGATAACAGAAAGCAGCCAAGACCAGGCAGAACAAAAGCTATGATGTGAGAGAGGCAGTCTGAAGCCTTGTGCAAGTCGGAACAGGAAAAGCTTATCGGCAAGGTAAAGAGTCATACCCATGTTTACTCACAGGCTGTACAAACACTCCCCACTCTTTACATTGAACAAAATACATCAGAAAATGAGAATAAACCTTAAAGTTTTAAGACTACAGATACAGTGCTGAATATGTTTTTATAACCCACTGGAAATGACATTTCATCCATGTTCATGGAGGCCACAGCAAGCTGAAAACGTGATATTGCTGTTTCAGTATTTTAAATGTTTTGTTTTTCCTTTCAGCCCAACCAGCTTTACTGACCTGGAGCCGGGTGACAGTGAGACAACTTGATTATCATCATCAGGAACAGTATTGCCACAGCGGCTACCTGTGGGAATCCTGCCCGGGCGTGAGACGCTGATCACAGCTTTTTCCCACTGATCTGGCAACTGGGGAATAAAAAGGGTGATCACCATCAAGCAATGGCTGTAAGCTCCTGGGAGCATCCAGAGCTCAGGCCAAGAAAAACGTGTACACAGACAGGGTGGTCAGTGTGCTTCAAGGAGGATGGGGCTGGCTGTAGCTTCAATGGGGCATCCACAAGCTGAAGGGTTGGCTTAAGACAAGCCAAGTGCCCTTGGTCATCAGCCAACACGACAGCCTCTCTCCCTCCCTTTGTTTTCTAGGTGTAGGCCAGCAGCAGCCCCATCTGCAGCATGGCATCAGCAGGGCTTTAGTGACCTCCTCTCCCCCCACCTCTGGATACTGCATCTTTCATTGCAGTCAATTGCTGTCAAGCTCTAGGTAAGGAGCTGGGTTTTTTTTCTCTTTCCCTTCACCCTGCAAATTATCCTTAGGCAAAACCAAACTGCTTGCAAACTCCTGGCTGCCAGCATTCAACATCTAAGACACACAATTTGTCTCCTAAGGTACATAAGATAGTTTTTTACCCATTAGAAGGCTGTCTGGCTGATGCTAAATTTATACTCTAACCTGTCCTGATAGGAGTTGTCACTTTTTAATTTGCTCATTAAACAGGTGCTGAAACAACGCAGTAATAAATGAAACTGTGAAGCAAACAATACCAGCAATAGTCAACGTCTCCTTGGATTTTCACACATTTCAGATATTTAACTGAGAACCATCCTTGCCTTTGAGTCCTGATGACTCCTGGAAGCTCCAGGCTCCTGTCAGTCATGCACCTGGGACAGCCAGCACTTGCTGGGACACAGTAATGCCCATACTCACAGACCTACCTGCGGCTCGTAGCGGATCAGGATATCGTACTCCATGGAGTAGGGGATGTTGTCGACATAGAATTCCAGGTATGCCCCCTCAGGGACTCTTACAAATCCTATGCCTGTCCATGATGGTGTGCGGTCTGGCGTGTACTGACGCTCTATTATGTTTACTCCCTATAGAAACAGGGAACAGAGATTTAATACCAATACATTAAATTTGTGAGTCCCATAGGAGTATGTAAGTGATGAGTTCTGCTGATGGATTACTTCTGGATCACAGCATCCATTGTTTGCATCCCAGAGAACATGAACTCTCTTTTAAACCCATATGTGTGCACACCGTGGCCCTTCCACTTAACAATATACAAAAAGCAAGAAAGATAAAATAAAACAACACTACAGTGTTCATCCATTCCTGTTATGGTGAAGAATTAAATTTAAAAACTTGCTGCAAGTAATTAAAACACCAGCTACAACATCTTGTTCACCATAAGACCTTTCACATCATACTTGCAGCAGCAGGATTTACTGCAGTGGTACGTAACTGCTCTGTTAACTGCCCAAGTCGAGTGCCAATTACTTCCTGATTGCAGCAGGCTGCTCCAAACCAAACCACTGCTCAGGATAACATTTGGAAAGCAGATCACGGCCACCACAAGCAGGGTGTCACTAAATAACAAGAGATCCTAATAATTGTTAGATATTTAATAGTCAAATGAATATGTGGTCACTCCTTTCAGTCTGAAGTGCTAGGTTTTTGTGTGCTACTTTTTATATAAAGCAAAGGAGAGGAAAAAGACAACAGAGAGTTGTACAGTGCTTTAACTTCCCATTTAAATGTATCTGCATTCATGCATAGTTCTCTCCACAGAACATCCTGTGCATTCCTAAGGAAGTTGCTTCAGTAGAGAGGGATAAAATATAAGGAAATGACTACATATATACACATATATCACCTCAGGATATCCTCTCATGTATTCTCACACTTTTTGAAGAGAGCTTGGCTATAAGTTTTTACCCTTTGGCTTTGCACAAAGGGTTGGAGCACCCTAGATAGGGTGGCAGGTGAGATGTGAGTGAGGGTATGCAGCTGTGGGGAGCATGGAGTCTTGGCACCACCTGAAAATCCCTGCAACTCTGTGCCCTGTGCCACTTAATTTTGTCTTGTGCTGGGCCCCTGCCTGGGGATTCAGTTTTCAGTCTGCCACCAGATTTCTGAGGAGGGTCTTCAGTACTGGCGTTATTTAAAATGGTTTGTTCTGAAGCTTTCAGAATGCGAACTAGCAACACATCCCCTCACTTTGCTTAGCAAGGCTGGTTTTCACGCCAGGATCCTCCATCCCTGAGCCTTGGCAAGGTTTTGGGTACCACCTCTCCAGTCAAGGAGGCACAAATGCACCAAATTCCCTGTGCCAGCTCACATGTCCTCTGCTGCAGCTCAACTTGTGCTCTGCACTGTCTTCACTCTCTGCAGTTACTGGAGAGCAAAAATCTGCCTTGTCTGAAACTGCAAAGCAGCTGCATTTTGCCTTAAAGAAATAAATTAGGACCAGGTGCCCCAGATGCAGGCAGACAGACAGACATCTGCTGCTTTAGAGGAGCCATTATCTCATCTCCCTGACTCTTTGCTGGAGGCAGAAATAATTGATGTAATCACCTTGCTGCTATTAATGAATTAAAAGCAAGGCTATGCAGTGGTGAATAGAAAGAGATGGAGACCCTGATGAACCACGCTGGTGGAAGAACTAGCCAGAGGCAACCTCACCTACCAATTTTATACACAATCAAGTATGGTTTTAGCTATTAATAAAAGAAATGTTACTGATGTACAGAAACTCTAAAAGCTGTGGCAATGTGCTTATGTGTGCTTTGTTCCCTTCCAGTTTCAGTGCCACCAAAAGGAAGAGCCAGTGTCAGTCTCCCAGGGCTCTGGAGATAAGAGGGGAAGGAGAAGTGGGTGTAGTGAGCTGACACAGTGGGGGACAAAGAAGGATTCTGACAGGAAACTAACTGTATGGTCATGATCAAAGAAATGGGTTTAGAAAGAAAAATGGCAGTTTTCCCCCTTAAATTACCACACTATTTATCAATACTAAGATTGAAGAGCTACAGGTTGATGGTTTTCTGATACAATTCACTATTGATTTCCACATTTTAATTGCAAAACACTCAGGGTATGAAACAGATGCTTCCAACACCCAAACAGTGAAAGAACTGTCCCACAGCTGCTGTCCAGAAACACCAGCCCATTAAAACTGCTACTCACGGGACCCAAGCTGGCTTCCTCTGCCTCGTAGATGTAATGATCGAGCGAAATGAAGTAATAGCCAGGCTCCACCTGGTTGCACTGACGTCCAAACATGTGGGGCCGGCATTCACATTGGCCAGATTGACTCGAGCAGCTAAAATGGAAGAACAATGAATTTACAACACATCTTGGCTATGCTAAGACAGTACTAGAGCTATCTTCCGCTTTGACGTCTTAGGACACAGGAGAAGCCCTTCTGGACACAGCTGTGTCTAGACACAGGATGTTCTCAGGCTTGCAGCTGGATCATCTGCACTGCTAAAATGGTTCAACCCAACTATTATTCTCCCAAACAACTCCTAGGCTCAGGCTGGGAATGAGCATACACCAGGGACCTTTTCCAGTAGGCAGCTTTCATGTGGTTTCCTCTATTTGAATGAAGAGAGGATTTCATGCTATGGATACAGGCAGTTCCCTAGGGTCAGACAGCAGTCTTAGGAGAGCTTCACTTGTTACCACAGTCATAGTCAAGAGGCATGTCTGTCCTGTGAGCCAAGGGCAGCCTTCAGCTCCAGGCTTGCAGGCCACGCAAGCAGCATATCTGTTTGTCTGGGCTCATGCAAAGCAAGAACATGCATGACCCTGCATGTCCTGGCACATTGTATGCTCTTGTATGCTGCAAAGTCCGTCCTCAGAGGTCACCCACCAGCAGCTATACACAGGGGAAAACCACACCTGACTGCTTTAAAGTAGGACAAACACAAAGACTTGGGACACACAGAGCCATCTCTGGGGCATGCAGAACATCTGTCCAGGGTGACATACAGCAGTTCCACTTCCTTCATGATGGGCCATTTCCTTTCCTCAATACAGCTCTACCCCCAGACTGCCTTTTGGTGGTTTTATTGTCCCCAGAGAGTCTGCCCCACATTATAAAGAACCCTCGGGCACATTGTTTTCATACAAAGGTTTTTTGGTCCACCAAAATATGCCCTTTTCTTTAAATCTGAGTGCAATTTAGGAACACTTTCCAAAGTCAAACCCCTCTCATGTCCATGGAAAATCTCCAGGCTTCTTAAGCCCCCATGCTAAGAGTAATTTTTAACTAAAACCATTTCTGAAATTACAAGAGATTCACTTTCAGATTCCAGAAGTGCCCCAGGTGTCCCAGAAGGGGAGCTGGGAAGCCTCCCCTCTGGGGATGAGGATGGTTACAGCACAGAGGGGGATGAATTTTGGGCGAGGTGCAGCTGTGCCAAGTGCTGCATCCCACACCCTGAACCAGAGCCAGGAGGCAGCAATTCAGCAGCTGAGAGGAGCCCTGGGTAGGGCAAAACTTCCCCTTCCCACTTAGGTTAGAGAGTGAGGCTGCAGCTGAGCTTCGAGGCTCTCCTGCAGCTGGAGAAAAGCACAGCTGGTCCCTGCCCACGCCAGGACATTGCATGTCCCCCTCCCCATGAGGTTTTGCAATCACTGGGCTCAGTGCATGGGAAAGATGCTGCAAAGCCTTGCTGAGCTGTGCCCCAAACATCTGGAAGTGGCTGTGCTGGGGCAGCTGTGCAGAGTAAGTAAGCAGGGAGCAAGCATGGAGGAGTAACTAATCACCAGCAAGCACACCACTGTCTGCTAAGGAAGGGGTCATAATTCACTGAGGAGCAAGGGGAGAGACAGCCTGGAGGGTGTTCCCATGGCACTCCCTGCTGCAGAAGGGGTGTCTGCAGGAGTTACATTGGGACCAGTCCCAAACTGCCCCGGTGTGGTCTGGTGGGTTGGCAGGAAAACAGTTCATCTACCCCCTTGGGAAACTTCTGTGGCTTTGGACAAAAGCAGGATGTTTCAAAGGATTTGTGAAAGGAAGGGCAGGAGGAAAGAGAGTGAAGGAGCATGCTGCTGCTCCTGAAAAACCTGGGGTCAGACATGCACCTAATGCACAGAAAACTGCTGTGGTCGGAGGAGCAGTCTGGCTGCTCAGCAACCCTCTGACAAGGCATTTAAGCCAGCACTTCCCATGCTCTTACTGATGGATGCACCTTCAAAACTACACACTTCTCTGAAAAATCTCCACCTTCCCAATAGGCATTTCCAGCTCTGCATCCCACCCCACACTGCACCCCTAGGGCAATGCGGCAGTACAGTGCTGCCAGTGTGCTGCCCTCAGCACTGCTAGACAAACAGACAGACTTGCCAAAGGGCCAGTTTGAGAGCAAACCAAGAACCAGGTCTATGTCACTGCCTCATTCCTGCATTAATCCTGTGAGGCAA